AGACTTGGACCCTACGTCAAGAAACAAAGGAGGAGGCCACGAGGTAGGGGGCGCACCTACCCCCCCAGGCGCGCCCTCCACCCTCGTGGGCCCCCTGTTGCTCCACCGACGTACTCCTTCCTCCTATATATATACCTACATACCCCCAAACGATCAGATACGGAGCCAAAACCCTAATTCCACCACCACAACTTTCTGTATCCACGAGATCCCATCTTGGGGCCTGTTTCGGAGCTCCGCTGGAGGGGGTATCCATCACGGAGGGCTTCTACATCAACACCATAGCCCCTCCGATGAAGTGTGAGTAGTTCACCTCAGACCTACGGGTCCATAGTTATTAGCTAGATGGCTTCTTCTCTCTTTTTGGGTCTCAATACAATGTCCCCCCCCCTCTCTTGTGGAGATCTATTCGATGTAATCTTGTTTTTGCGGTGTGTTTGTTGAGATCGATGAGTTGTGAGTTTATGATCAAGTCTATCTATGAACAATATTTGAATCATCTCTGAATTCTTTTATGTATGATTGGTTATGTTTGCAAGTCTCTTCGAACTATCAGTTTGGTTTGGCCTACTAGATTGATCTTTCTTGCAATGGGAGAAGTGCTTAGCTTTGGGTTCTATCTTGCGGTGTCCTTTCCCAGTGACAGTAGGGGCGGCAAGGCACATATTGTATTGTTGCCATCGAGGATAACAAGATGGGGTTTTCATCATATTGCATGAGTTTATCCCTCTACATCATGTCATCTTGCTTAAGGCGTTACTCTGTTTTCATGAACTTAATACTCTAGATGCATGCTGGATAGTGGTCGGTGAGTGGAGTAATAGTAGTAGATGTAGGAAAGAGTCGGTCTACTTGTCTCGGACGTGATGCCTATATACATGATCATACCTAGATATTCTCATAACTATGCTCAATTCTGTCAATTGCTTAACAGTAATTCGTTCACCCATCGTAAAATACCTTTGCTCTTGAGATAAGCCACTAGTGAAACCTATGGCCCCCGGGTCTATCTTCATCATATTAATCTTCCAATACTTAGTTATTTCCTTTGCTTTTATTTTACTTTGCATCTTTATCATAAAAATACCAAAAATACTATCTTATCATATCTATCAGATCTCACTCTTGTAAGTGGCCGTGTAGGGATTGACAACCCCTTATCGCGTTGGTTGCGAGGATTTATTTGTTTTGTGCAGGTACGAGGGACTCGCGCGTAGCCTCCTACTAGATTGATACCTTGGTTCTCAAAAACTGAGGGAAATACTTACGCTACTTTGCTGCATCATCCCTTCCTCTTCGGGGAAAACCAACGCAGTGCTCAAGAGGTAGCAGTCGGCTCCACCCAAGCTCAACTAATTAGCCAGAGTCGTTCAAAGCTGAGCCCGACAACACTAGGGGTGGTGCTCAGGGAGGGTCTGACAGACCCACCAGCACCTGAGTCCACCAAGAAGAAGTAGAGGAAGAGACCGGCGGCGAGAAAATCCAATAAAGCTGGCAATGTTGGTTCTAGCAGCCAGCCGCCTTCGACCAAGGTTGACCGTGTACCGATGAAACATGCACCATTAATCCATGTCGCGGGAGAGCCAATGCATGGTACCGGCGAATGCACTAGCTGCCATAGAAGGGGATCTCAAGAGACTCCATGACCATGTGCTTTCGACAGAGAGAAGCCTCCTCGCCTTGGATGATTCAGGATACCCACTTTATACGGTTCATGTGCGGAGCAGTTGCAAGATGTATGTCCAGACATGCCCCGCGGACCTCTTCTTCCTGATGTTTGATTACATCTTCCAGATGTTTCAAATGAGGACACTCGATTTTATGTTCGTCCGCCTGTATGCGCTGCACATGAACTACATCGTCAGGAGAGAGCAAGACACCGGTCTTGCGGTCGCGGACCCATACTACATGCATGCGGGCTTCTTGTCAATCAACGACGCCAACCATCAATATGCGAGTTAGTACATCGAAGAATTCATGGTCAGTAATAAGGACAAAGAAACGATTCTCCTACCTTATCATCCCAGGTAAGTCATCCGCGGATAGCACTATAACACATACATCCTTTCGTGCATTTCAATAGTTACTTTGCACGCATGGAGGCTAAACTTGATCGTGTATTTTGCGCAGCGGGGGGTGTCGTGCCGTTCTCATTGTTCTTTACCCACGTTACTCCCGCATTCTATATTTGGACCCGTCGAAGAACATACAGAAGAAAGATTACACACACATAAAGTATGTTCTGGACAGAGCTATGCTGGGGTTCAGCATGCGGGGTGGCTACATCCAATGCAAAAAACAAATAAGGACGGGCTTTGTTTCAGCCACAAGACTGACTTCTGTTGCATCCAGCAACCGACAAGAAGTGAGAATGATGGATGCTACGTCATCCATCTAATGATGGAGTACAGAAGGGATGTGCAATCACTTTGCATGAAATCTTCATCCGATACCCATATCCAGAGATGGGTCGAAGCCTTTGGAGCCGTGCCTGATAATCGACTTCAAAATGATTTCTACCGGATCCAACGGGAAATTGCGTCCATCATCATGAAAGATGTCCTCGAAGAGAATGGGATGTTCTACGGCGGCCCAATATCGCGAGCTGACGTCTGAACCCGCATTGCCCTACAGCGTCAGGACATGACGCCTTTCACTAAGCTTGGGTCCACCCTTCCGGATATGGACAGATGGGAAGAGTGCACAGCTTAAAAATAATTTGTCTGTTTAGTTACTTGTTACTTTCTGTACAACGAAACTTCGAATCTCTCAGTACGATGAAACTATTAGATGTATGGTGCCGCGCTCTAGTTAATTACTTTCGGTATGATGAAATTTGTTAACAATGTTTACTATATATGTTGCTTCTATTTCATAACTGTTTCTTTGAATTTGCTTCATGATATATATGTGCATCTCTGACAGGTATATAGATCAACGATGGCGAGGAAGTGGTATGCCATGTATGTAGGGCATGTTTTGGGTGTGTATGATGAGTGGCCAGAGTGTCAGGCCCAAATCTCTGGCTTCTCCGGTGGAAGCCAGAAAGGGTTTGATGGCAGAGTGGAAGCCGAAGATAGTTACTTGAGATTCATAGCACAACAGGGGATTCAGAACCAGCGCCGCTGCAAAAACTACTACATACTACCGCTCTTGATCATCGTGATCACTCTTATCTTCTATGCTGTCATATCATAGTCTACATAGATGATGAAACATGAGTATGTGACCATGTAGTTGCATGTATTGAGAACTTGTAATGGCTTGTAACACTATTTCGAGACATGTGTTCGACCATGATTGATGATGATGAGATATTTGAGACATGTCGAGACTTCTAATAACTTTGGCTCATCGATGACTCACTTGCTTTTCAATGAATATGCATGTTATTGTATAAACGGTGGATCTGTTTAATTGTTTACAGAGCCAAAACGCAAAAAAAAAAAGTTAGCAGTGGCGTGGGGCTAAAGATTACTAGTAGCACTCAAGTAACAGTAGCGCTGGTTAGCTCCACGCGCTGGAGATAAATATCAGTAGCGCTGTGTGGAAGTGCGCTACAGCTACTTTAGCTACCTGTAGCGCTGGGTTAAACAAGCGCTACTGCCAAAAAATAGCTGTAGCGTCGTAGCAGTAGCGCGCCTACTGGCGCTACTAATAGTAAAAAAACAGCGCTACTGGTAAGGGTTTTCCTAGTAGTGGGTCGATGGGCCGAGGAGCCTGTGCTGGCCGTGGCCATAGCAGCGGCCGAGAGATTGGCCGGCGTGGGGTGGGCCATACCCATTTTGAGGAGGACGTGCGCCTTGGAGACGATGGACTCCTTGTCGTCGAGGTCGACCTGGTGCTGCATCGCACGCCGCAGGGCACACTCGGAAGCGTACTGCGCAGCGGCCTTCTTCTCCTTTTCGACAGTTTGTCGGTCCCTCCTCTTGGCCCATTCTCTATTGAGCTTGGCGGCCTCTGCCGACATGAGCTCTGGCTGAGGCTTCTTCACAGGCTTCTTTTTCTTCCACGGGCCGGGCAGCAGGTGGTGGGTTGCCGGGATTCACCTCGTCGGCCATGGTGGATGGAGGGAGGGGGAGGCTGGGGCGTGGGAGAGTGGAGGGCGTGGTGCGGGAGCATTTTGGAGGAAAGGGAGGGAAAGTGGCTGCCTGTGCCACCGACGGGCGGGCCAGGGGAGGACAAGGGCGCGCGTCCCACCTGTCCGCGTGTTGTCTGTTCGGCCGCAAACTCGGCTCGAATTTGGGCCGGAAATGGGTTAAAAGCGGACCGAAAACGTATGACGGTCCATTTGCGGCCGTGCCTTGGAAGGCCTGCTTTGTCCGTTTACTCTCAAATGGGCGCGGGCGGAGGATGGGGACGCGTGTTGGAGTTTGCCTTATATCATGTGGTTTTCTTGTGTCGTGTCCTTCGCTTGGCTTCATCTCCTCCGTGTCTCATTTTGTTCTTGACGTGGTGCTTTCCTTCACGGTTGTCGCTTCGGACATCACAGCCTGCTTGCTTTTCTTGACCGCAAGGTTTCTTCGAGCTTCGCTCCTTCTGCCACTGGACTGCACATCAATTTCTTCGATAAGCAGTGCTAAAGATGGTGCTAACTGTTTGTTGATATGGAAGAGGACAAGATAAGATCGTGCAAAAGAGAAAGCCCATGCTCCAGAATCAAAACATGGCATACTATACTACCTCAATACGCAAGGACAGCAGGCGTATTGTTGACTTTTTTGTGGTGCCTCGTGATGACAATCATAGATGAGTACAGAAGATGGCAACATAGCTGTCTTTGAAAATGATCTTTAACTAACTCCCTTCACAATAATGCAATAGCTTAAGCATCTAAAAATAGTTTATAATCAATACCTTGCGATGACATAGATAAGTACAGGGATTAAGAAAGAAGAAATAGCTGGTTTCCTTCCATTTTCCTTGGGCCATCCCCGTTGTGAACTGAGCTTGTATAAACAGAAAACAACGACCCAATCGAAGGCCAAGCAACTCAAGAGATGAACGCAATGGGTGCCCTCTCGTGGGCGGCTGACGCGGTGGTGGTGATCTACTCTCTCACCGTCGCCATCACTGCGCCGCTGGTCGTCGCGCAGGGCATCCTCCCGCGCCGCCTCTTCCCGGCGCCGCTCGTGGCATTCAAGCTGTGGTACGCGGCCAAGTTCGACGACTACCTCACCGCCGAGCCACCGTCTTTCTTCCGCGGGCTTAACTGGCTGGAGCTCATCTTCCAATGGCCGCTCAACGTGGCCAACGTCTACGGCATCCTTGCCGGCTGCCCTTGGGCCGCCACCACATCCCTGATGGCCGGCGTCTCCACCCTCACCTCCATGGTAACTCATCTTCTATCGCGCGTTCTCCTTGGCTTTTCTCCGGAAAACACTAGAACAATCAAATGCACTCGTGTTCCTCTAATTTCTACGCTTTGTGGTCACTTTCACTTTCAGGCTGCCATACTTGGAGACATTCTGGGATCAGGGAGAGCAACCAAGAAATTGCTTCTGGTCTATGTCCCTTATGTTGCTTTCGCCGTCGTCGCGATTCTTCGTGGGCTCACCTCAGGCTCAGGGACTCAAGCGGGTTCTCTTGCATCTTACGCTTGGAAGAAAATCATCTAGTACTTATTTCTTTTGTTATGTTGTACCCACAACCATGTAACCAGAGATGAGTTCGTGACCATTGCAATCTTTCTTGTACAATGGATTAGAGCATTATCATCTTTCTCTTTACATATCCGCTTGCAAAATTGTTTGGGGTGTGGCTGAAATCAGTCGCGAGGACGGATTCCTTGAGGCCTACAGGCTACACCAGTTGGCGTCATTTGTTGCTACGCCAAGGGATTGACATTATGTGAAATCCTTGTCTCACACCGTTCATATCTCCACTTCGTTTTTCTTTTGCCTTAGTTCTTGTAAGAGTTTCGTCAATGAAGCTTGGGAGAGAAACCATTTATCAAAAGAAGGTAAATATAGCAGCACATGTATAGATCCGTATAGTCACCGCGTGAGCCACATGCATGCATGCATGCATGTGGATGGCTTGTAATTTTGCTTGGGTTAAGCGAGAGCAAATATTTAACCAATTAGACAGTGCTAGCCTCTACTTGTCCATTCCGCCATCTTCCACCGATCGACATCAAGAAGACGTTTATAAGACATGTAAGCTAGCTGGTCTAATGCTGGTTTGTCGCAGTTATCAATTGTCTACAGATCACATATTAATTGTTTTGGTTAGAACTGACAAGAAAATAGGAAGAATTCACATATAGGATAGTAAGTACCGACTAGTCTTGATAACTAGAACTCCTGCTTGCAAGCCGCATGGTGTTGAATGCCGGACTCGTGGCAGACGGTGGCCACCGAAAGGTCTTCACGAGGATTCCTTCCTCTAGATCCGGTGGTTGGCTTCACGATAAGATGTAAACTATGGACCATGGCTTGACGTAGAGAAATAGTTGTGCATGGGCGGCAGGAATCAAAAAATGAAATCCACAAGTGACAGTATGCAAATTAAATTTATCCAAACACAAGTGAGAAGGCCCAAGGGGAAAACAAGATGCACCAGCTGGGAATCGAACCCGTCATGCATGTATGCTGGCCTCCATTGCATATATTTCTAACTCAGTTCTTGTCTTAGCGTTTGCCACGTGCAAGCCGCATGGTGTTGAATGCTGGACTCGTGGCGGACGGTGGCCACCGAAAGGTCTTGACGAGGATTCCTTCCTCTTGATTCGGTGGTTGGCTTCACGATAAGATGCTAACTATAGACGATGGCTTGACGTAGAAAAATAGTTGTGCATCGGCGGTAGCCATCAAAAATGAAATCCACAAGTGACAGTATGCAAATTAAATTTATCCAAACCAAAGTGAGAAGGCCCAAGGAAAAAAAAAAGATGCATCAGCCGGGAATCAAACCCGGGTCTGTACCGTGGCAGGGTACTATTCTACCACTAGACCACTGGTGCTTTTGATCTGGTTTTGCTCGAGGAAACTTGTCTAATCGTAATCAGTGGACTGCCTCTTTTTTCTTTTCATTTTTGAACGGGGGACTGCCTCTTTGATTGTAAGCTCGACAGTCACAGCGACACAGTACTGTGCGGCTCCATAGTTCCATAGTCTCACATCTCTCTTCCGGTCTTGACGATGGAAGGCAACGCCCATACACATGAACATGCGCTGGGCAGTACTATATGATGCAATGCATCTTGTAGAAGACTAGAATAGGTTGTGCAACACAATTGCATTGACCGGTGCACCAGGCACGTATATATGATGTACAGAGGAGGGCCACAATCTCAACTATACAGATAAACTAAGAGGTGGGTCCAAGACACAATATACACGTACACAATATATTCAACACCCCCCTCCCCCTTTCCGCCGCAGTCAAAGCGGCGGCGGAGATGCAGAGACTGGAACGAAACTCCTCGAAGGTGGAAGTCGGCAGTCCCTTAGTCATCACATTGGTGAACTGTTGTGCGGTCGGAACATTGAGGACCCAAATGCGTCCAAAGGCCACCTGCTCACGCACGAAGTGAATGTCCAGCTCAATGTGCTTAGTCCGGCGATGATGAACGGGGTTGGCGGAAAGGTACACCACAGAGACGTTGTCACAGTAGACAACCGTAACCTGGGAGACATCATGATGCAACTCCTGAAGTAGCTATCGTAGCCAGGTGCACTCACGACGGCGTTCGCCACTGCTCGGTACTCGGCCTCCGCGCTAGAGTGCGAAACGGTCTGTTCTTGCTTGGACGACCACGAGATTCGTGAAGGACCGAGGTAGACGCAGTAGCCAGAGGTGTCAGGGCAGCCGGCCCAGTCCGCGTCATAATAGGCCACCATCTCCAAAGAAGTGGACGCCGTGAGAGTGAGCCCAAGAGCCATGGTGCCACGGATGTAGCGGAGAATCTGTATCACGAGGGTCCAATGGGAGTCACGAGGGGCGTGCATATGAATACACATTTGCTGAACAACATACTATAGATCCGGCCGGGTGAGAGTCATATACTGAAGAGCATCAACAATGGACCGGTAGAACGGAGCATCCGATGCGGGCGAGCCCTTGAGAGCAGAAACCTTGGCCTTCGTGTCAAATGGACTAGCGACAGGGTGACAATTGAGCATGACGACACGCTCAAGGAGCTCATGCGCATACTTCTACTGATGAAGAAAGAAGCCGTCCGGTCGCCGGACAACCTCAATGCCAAGGAAATAATGTACAGCGCCTAAGTCCTTGTTGGCAAACTCATCACACACCCGGAGAGTAATCTGGTGAAGAAGGCTGCGGAGGAGACTGTCAAGACGATGTCGTCGGCGTAGAGGAGCAAATATGCAGTCGTGTCACTACGGTGATAGACAAACAACGAGGCATCCGAGCGAGTAACACTGAAGCCCAGTGTCTCAAGGAAAGCAGCGATACGCTGGTACCAGGCGTGAGGTGCTTGCTCAAGCCCGTAGAGAGACCGGGACAGCAAACACACATGCCTAGGAAGAGATACATCGACGAAACCGGTGAGCTGCTCACAGTAAACCTGCTACTCAAGATGCCCATGGAGGAAGGCATTGGATACATCCATCTGATGAACCGGCCAGCCTCGGCAGACCGCCAGCTGGAGAATGGTGCGGATCGTGCCCGGTTTGACAACTGGTGCAAACGTCTCAGTGAAGTCGACGCCAGCATGCTGCCAAAAATCACGGACCATCCAGCGAGCCTTGTAGCGCTCAAGTGTACCATCCGAGTGGGTCTTATGATGAAAGACCCACTTGCTGTTGATGACATTGGCGCGAGAAGGCCGGGGAACCAGTGTCCAGATACGGTTCCGCTGAAGAGCATCGAACTCTTCCGGCATCGTAGCAAGCCAATGAGGATCACGAAGGGCTGATCTGGCGGACACAGGAATCATTGACGGCTCGGTGGTGGAGGCGGCGAGGAGATACTCGTCGCTGTAGTACCGCAGACTTGGGCGGTGAACGTCGGCTCGAGCCCGAGAGAGGGGCGAGACAGCAACTTTAGGACGAGGCCCAAGGAGGAGGCCGCCGAGACTGCTGGCGAGGCGGCCGGCGAGGGCGCGGCACCCGAGGCAGTCGGGAAGGCGCGACACCTGAGGCGCCCGAGGCGGGCGGAGAGAGTGCCGGCGGCGAAGCCGGCGTGGACGGCGACGGCGGCGTGGGGGCGCGAGGCGCAGCTTGTCCCACTACGAGAGGACCACCAAAGCCCGGAGGCGGACCGAGAGCCGCGCAGGGACGTCCACCTGACGGGGTCGCCGAAGGGCCGTCAGCAACATGGCGAAGAGAGCTATCTGCTGCTGAAAAGGAAACACCTTCTCATCAAAGTAAACGTGTCGGGAGGTGAATACAACGATGTGAGACAGGATTGTAGCAGCGGTAGCCTTTTGTGTTAGGAGGGTAGCCGAGAAATATGCAAGCAACGGAGCGGGGTGCAAGCTTATGAGGCACTGGCGGCGATGCTAGGGTAGCAGAGACAGCCGAAGATGCGAAGCTCATCATAAGAGGGCGGTGCACTGAATAGGAGATGATGAGGTGCAAAGTTCCCGCGAGTACGACAGTGGCGGATGTTAATGAGGAGTGATGTGTTGACGAGAGCATCAGGCCAAAAGCATGGGGGCACATTGGTATGAAAGAGAAGGGTCCGAACGCAGTCATTAAGAGTGCGAAGGACACGCTCAGCACATCCGTTCTGTTGCGAAGTGTATGGGAATGTGAGACGAAAAGTCATGCCATGTGTGGTGAGGAGAGTGTGAATAGCTAAATTTTCAAACTCCTTCCCGTTAACTGCCTGAAACACGAGAATGGGATGACCAAACTGCGTGAAAACATAAGAGTAGAAAGCGGAGAGAGTGGAGATGACATCCGACTTACTAGGCAACGGGAAGGTCCACACATAGTGCGAAAAATCATCAAGTATAACAAGATAATAAATATAGCCTGTATTACTTGCAACTGGAGAGGTCCAAACATCACTATGAATTAACTCAAATGGGTACGATGCAACATCAGAAGACGCCCTAAACAGAAGACGAGCATGTGTGCTGAGGCGACATGCATGACACAAGTGATCCTCGATCGTATTACACGTGAAAGAAAAACTCTGGAGTATATGACGAAGGGTGGTGGGGTTGGAATGACCCAAGCGAGCATGCCAAAGATCCACTCCGGTGATGAGAGCAACAGGGGCGGCGGAGGTGGTGGATGCGGTGGAGTGGACCGAGTAGAGCTCGTCGGGGCTGTCGCATCGGTGGAGTATGCTACCTGTTGAGCACTGCGTTGGTTTTCCCTTGAAGAGGAAAGGATGACGCTGCAAAGTAGCGTAAGTATTTCCCTCAGTTTTGAGAACCAAGGTATCAATCTAGTATGAGGCCACACGCAAGTCCCTCGTACCAACACAAACAAATAAGAACCTCGCAACCAACGCGATAAAGGGGTTGTCAATCCCTTCACGGTCACTTACGAGAGTGAGATCTGATAGATATGATAAGATAATATTTTTGGTATTTTTATGATAAAGATAAAAAGTAAAGGTTGCAAAATAAATGGTGCAAAAAATAACTTGGTAACGGGAGATTAATATGATGGAGAATAGACCTGGCGGCCATAGG